TATCACACCTATCCTCAAAAATCTTATATTAAAAAGAACCGTTTATAATCACAGTTATATAAAGAATATATTAAATAATTTGGCATCTAATAATCGTATAAAGATGTACCATAGCTTGTTAAAATCATCTCACTGAGACGAATCTAATAGTGGTAGTTTTATTCTTTTACAATTACTGACTGATGAGTTATTTAACAAAATGTTAAACATCGACATTATAATATTTCTTGATTTATGTTTACTATGCCATTTAACATTTTGCTAAATTTCTTAGTATCTAATAATTGTAAAAAGACAATTAATAGCTCGCTGAAATCATCTCATCAAGATGAATCGAATGGTAGTAAGCTCATCTCTCTATGATAAATATTGACGGAGTTACTACTTAAAAACCAATTAATATTTTTTAATTTCAGAAATTGATCTAGTGATTGGATTTCAATATATCTTATACCATTAGATTCGTCTCATCAAGACGAATCAAATGGTAGTAAAATTGTCTTTTTAGAATCAATATTGGCAGAGTTATTACTCAAAAACCATTAATATTTTTTAATTTCTGAAATTAATCTAGTAATTGGATTTCAATGTATTTTATACCATTAGAACTGTTTCATCAAGTCGAATTGAATGGTAGTAAGATCATTTCTCTATGATTAATATTGGCAGAATTATGATACAATAAAGTTTTAAGTATAATTTTGGCCAAAATTATGTTAATTTTTGGCCAGAATTATAATATATAAATATAAGAAATTTTTTATATAGTTATATCTCTTTATAATCACCAAATATGGACTGTCCCAAATGTGTGATTATAAAGAGAGTTGACTGTAAATAGTTGTAATTCAAAATGTCGTAATTATTACTTATGGCAATTAACACTATCTGTAATATTATAATAATTATATATAAAGTAGTTTATACGAAATTAAAAACTTGTAGATTTTATTAATAGTAAATTAAAATAAATAATATTTAATATATATAATTATTATAATTATTTTTTAAACAAATCTTAAGAACATCATATTTGTCTTTTAGATGTTTGTATTTTTTACCAATCTAAGTCTCAATTATTTTCTTAATATTATTTTCCTGTTATTGTAAACAAAATTCATGTTCTTTTAACTGTTTTTCAAATTTATCTAACCAGAATAATATACTAAAACCATTAGAATAGTATTTGCTTTAATTTTAATCTTCTGACGATTTTTTTTATTAAAGTATCTATTAATCTTCCTAGTAAGTAATTCCTTTAATACCTGAATAAATACCTTTAGCCTGTTTTTAAATAGAAAATTATTTTTGCAGGTTGTTAAACATAACTATGCATTTTTTTTTCATAGATAAGAATAATTGGTTAATTAAGCAAATTCTTATAAATTTATAGTGTTTGTTGAAATGTAATTAATTAAATATATATTTAATTATGCTTTAGTATTAAATAATATAAATTTGGAAAATTCCTGAAAAAAATATTTCAAAAAGTTTAGAATTGGCTAAAAATTTGCCAAAGTCTAAATAGTGTCTAGATTTTGAAAAAAAAATACCAAAAAAATTCTTGAAAAATTTTCTACAAAAACTTTAATGTATAAGCAATTCTAATAATTCTTTATCAGATTTTTAGAGTTAATTTCATAATTCTACCCGTATTATCTATCAAAATATTTTTTTTTTTGGCTTTATTTCAGTGATCTTTACCAATTTTCAGTATTTAAAATATATAATTATCTGACTTTTATAGATATTAGATTTATAATAAGTAAAGTGATTTTTATATAACTTACCATTAATATAGAATGTTTTTGCTTAAATGAAGCATAATCATATTTGAAATATTAAAAGATTTTTAAAAAAAATTGCAAAATACTAAAAAGATTAATTATAAATAATGTAAAAGAAATTGCTAGATAACAAAAAGAAAAATATCTTTTCAAAATTTATATAAATAGTTTATTACAATTAAAATAACATTGTACTAAAGGTTATGAATAGACTGCAACATTTAGTAGTATAAAATATTAAAAATTATAAATTTATAATGTCTATATTATGCAGGAAAATACATTGATAATTAGCTTATTTGAGAAATACTAGTAGCAAGCCAAATAGTTTTTAAAGTATATTTATATTTATTTATTTTAGTAAAAATAAATTTGATTTTACTTTTAAAAGTAGTATTAGAATCTTTTGCAATTATCTAGTAAGAAATTGAATTTCAAATATATGTTTTAATTTTTAGTTATAAAGATATCCTATATAAGTATCAAGTGATTATATATGATAAATAAAATGATCATTTTATTGTTGAAATTGTTTAATTTTAAGTGATTGAAATTTAGTATTTATAAGATTTTGTAATACATATTTATAAGCCTATTTTAAAGATAAGGAAAAATAAATTTTCTTTTATTTGAACTTTTAGAATAATGTATATATAATTCTAATAAGATGATTTGCAGCTAATAATTTTTCTTTAGATAATTTTAGATGTTAGTATGAACAGTTTCTCAGGTTTAAATTGAAGAAATTAAACTAAATTGTTCTTTGCTTAATTTTGGCAATTTTGTTATCAGTTCTAAAGTATATTTTAATTTATTCATCTTATTATAACTTTATTAATTTGTCTTTTTTTATCATTTTTCTTTTTATTTGACTTTTGAACTTGAATTTTATATGTTCTTTTTAATTTTAAAATGCGTGGTATTTTCTTAAAAACTTAAAAATTAAATAACTCACATTCTATTTATAGTATTAAAGCAATGTTAAATATATAAATGAATATATGATGACTTAGATTAACATGTAATACCCACAGGTCAAAAGTGAAAAATCAGGCATCAATCAGTCACCAATCGGTCACCAATCAGCTATCTGATTGGTAGTTGATTGGTAACTGATTGATGCCTAATTTTTCACTTTTTGACCTGTGACTTCATTTTTTTTGAAAGTTTTCTAAAGAAAAAATTTTTTTCAGTCAAAATGTTTATTTGACTGTTTGATTTTTTTGAAAAAACAGAATATTTCATAAAAGAAGCAGTTATTTTGAATATTTTCACAAAATTTAAAATAATAATGTCAAAAAGGATTCATTTGACTGGGAGCTTAATGAGGGATTTATTAATGCTGCACGAAGAATTTAATTGAATGATGACATAAATGAAAGCAGTATTATGTTCAATTGAGACTTTAATTTATTATTCATGTCACTTTCTTCTTAAAAAAGTTACTGCGGACATTTTTATCATAATTTCTGTACTTAACCAGTTTAATTTATTTATTTTTAATTATTAGGGTTTTGAAACAACCAGAAGAAGTCATCAACTTGTAAGGGTTAAGTTGGAAATGGAATATGAAACAATGATACAGGTTGATTCTAGCAATTTTATTAAAAAAAGATGGAATTTTACAAAATTTTTAGTCTTATAAATAAAGATTCAGAGGTCAAAATTTGACAAAATTTAAGGATTTATCTCTTATTGGGGTGTGCTATCACCAGTATCATATGAAAATTTACTCTTGAAAATTTTTTCATATTAAGCTATTTTATACTATATAGTTTAACTGGCCTTATAATAAATTTCTTATTAAACTGTTATATTTTTTTTTTTTAAATAATTCTAATCATTATTTACTTAAACAAATTATAGAAACAAAAACTAACAACGTTCTCAGTGTGTGAACATTTTAACAGCAGCAGATATGGAACCAATTTGAATTATTGTTATAAATTGAAAACGCACAAGATTCTAAGTTTTCAGAATAATATTATTGTCTACTTGGGCTTCAACTTTATTTCAAGTGAGAATAATAATACTAACAATTATAATAATTAGATAACTCATCATTATTGCAATCTTTTTTGTTATGCTATTAAATGGCCTGCTTTTCTATTGTTCTATTACTAATTATTGTTAAACTTCAGGACTACATAATTATACTAAGATTTCATCCCATCCCAAATCCCATATTACAGTAAAAATCTCAATTCCTTAATAGAAAAATTCATAGTATTGGCCAACAATTATATACATAACAATTGAATTGCAAGTTCCTACTGTAAAAGAATATTGGTCAGTCATGTTCAGAAATTTCAAATGAATGAAAGTTTGGATTTTACCTTCTTCTATATCTTCCATTGGCATAATATCTGACGAATTTAAAAGTCCGCAAATTAAATCTTTATAAGCATATCACTTTAGTTAGCAAATGATATCTCGTTTTTATAAAAAAAAATAAAAGGTTAATTAAATAATAAGTTTTAAGAATATTGGTAAAAGTTAATTTCAACCCTCAACAGAAAAGGAAGGCTGTGGCCTTGTTGGGAACCTGCCTCTGTATTTGTGGTTTAGGAATTCGTTACCCCATAAATTAAACAGCTATTGATTTTTGATCCAGCAGACAATCTAATAATGTACTTGTCGAAATTGGTCAAAACTTGTCGTAAGAACCAGTTTGTAAATAAAAAGAACAATCAAATTTACATATGGCATTATGGACTATATTTGAAAATGTTTTACGTGTTTACAATTTACGGCATAGCTGGTGTATAGATAAAATCAACGTAAATAGTAACGGTATACTGTAACTCTATGAAGCTTAGACGCGATATAAATTTGTTTTTTTTTACGTAACGCTAGTAAGCCTTATATTTTTCGGAGATGCCTTAATCATTCTATTTTTGTATTACCTTATAATGATTTAGCCATCCGCGATGAAAGCTACCCAAATTGGTTAAATAATAAATGTTGGTATTCAGCCCAATGCATGCACGCCCGAAAACGTTTTCATTATAGTTACATTATAAAATATCTTTCTAGTAATCTGGCAATGTCAAGGTCTTTCAATATGTTTGTCATTTTACGCGTTTAATTATGGATAAATTCTTAAAAGTTCAATTACCCCAGCCCCGATACAGTATACTCCTACTGCGGTTTTTATGCAGCTTGCACAAAAAGTCGAGTTTATAATACAAAAATTATTTTACAATAGCATCAATGGTTTTTTTACCTTCAGATATAATTGGAGAAATATTTTTATATCTCGAAAAAGAGTATTCAGCAAATCCAACACAATTACATCGTGTAATTTATTCATATACTTGGATAAACAGAAATTGGTGTCAAAATACAATACCGTATTTATGGCGCAAACCATTTTATTCTCGACGACCTTCTAATAATAATAATAACAAATTAAGAAATAGTAATAAAAAAATTATTGAAACTTTATTGATGAGCATGAACGAAAAAGAGCGAAAAGAATTATCGATGGCAGGATTTAATTTACCCAGAAGAGGAAGATCTGGTTCAATATTTGATTATGCTAGTTTCATTAAAGAGTTGGATTATTTTGAAATGTTTAATAGTATTATTGATTGGATATTAGAAAATCATTTACATATTACAAACGAGAATATACGACAAGAATATTTTTATCAAAGAAATATTAGAAACATTAAGAACGATTTTGATGGTAATAATATTGATAGACTAATTCATTTAATTATGAATATGTTTAAAAATCATAATACTCAAATTAATTATCTTAAATTAATACCTTATAATATTAACCATTATACAAGAGATGATAATTGTTATCTTTTATTTGTTGACCAAAATTACTTTAAATGTTTGGTTGAAAATTTAAAATATTTAGAAGTTGATACTGATTTTTGTGATTATTCATTTTTAATCTCTCTTTCAAAGATATGTAATAATTTGGTAAGGTTTCCTTATATTTCTGATGCTGAAGCAAAGTGATAATACTAAACGATTTTCTTTTTTTTTTTTTATAGAAATATTTACACTCATTTAGAGATAATGTCAGAATAACTAAAATGACACAATATTATATTAAATCACAAGCAACAATATTAAATTCTTTAATATCATCACAACAAAATTTAGAATCATTAAAGTTATCAGGTTATACATGGTATTCAACTTTAATGGATCAATCGATATTAACTCAAATTAATTCTTTAAAAATATTAGAATTTAATGAAATAGATTTTAAATCTCAACAACAACAACAAAAAATTGATTGTACTTTAGATACAATAAATTTATGTACCAATTTAGAATTATTAATAATTAGTTGGTGTTGGGGTTTAGGTGAAGGTGGATGTGGAGGAAATTATCGTAATATCCAAAATTTTGTTAATAATTCTCAATTTCCTAAACTATCTAAAGTTACTATTAAAGGTTTATGTCCTACTGCTTTAAGAAAATGGGCCGAAACATATAATTATTGATTGAGATGTAATAGTAAGAATATTAGTCTTACTATATAAAAATTAATAATTCTTTGTAAGATAAATTATAAACAAATAATATGATTCAATAATATTAACTTATCCAAATACTAAAAATTCACTATTATTATGTAATTTTATTATTTAAATAAAGTCACTTATTTCTAAAGAAGTATATAAAATAAAAAAATTATATTATGGGCCATATTTTTTTATAAAAAAGAATAATAATTTTGCAAAAATCCAATTTATTAAATTTAAAAAATAAATCTAATTTATCTAATTTGCATGCAACATGCATTATAAATTTATATCTTTTTTTTAAGTTTATTTTCATTTTAAATAAAATTATAGAAGTACTATATAGTATTTTCTTATACCGCTTTAGATTTTTACTAAAATAATACTTTAGTTTTTAAATAATAGATAATTAAATACTAGTAGTTTAAAATAAATAAATATTTGTATTATAACCTAAAAAGTACTCTTTTTAAAAAATATTAAAAATATATATTTATTTATTTATAAAATTTTTTATAATTTAAAATTAAATAAACTTATTTTAATTTATTTTTTTTACTTAAAACTGAAACTTAAAATTTGCAACTATTTATAAAATTACAAAAACTGACAATTAAATAATAATAAATATTATATAATTTTATCTATATAATTTATTGTATATATATAATTTATTAAGATATAAGATTATATATATATATAATAGATCAGGATCCCAAATAAAAAAAAACATTTTTAACTATGATCAATATGCATTTGTAGCTTTTAACCCCTAAATTTTTACAAAATATGTATTTTAATTCTCTAACTTCAAGTCAGTTTTTAAAATTTTAATTGGCTCTTTATTAATTATATTAAATTGTTTTCTGTTTTCATTTGCTTTATATCTTGAACATGCTATATGTCTATTTAAATAATCTTTTTTATATCTATAGTTTAATTTGATTTCTTTCCTATATATATATATTACTTTTTTCTTTACCATATTTCCAATAAAATATTATATATGCAATACAGAAAAGATTTTTGTTTAAAAAAAATTTATTTTAAGATAATTGTTAAATAAAATTAAAAGTATTAAATTATTATTATTTATTTCCAAAAATATACCAAAAATAAGCAAATCCAACATAATTGTATGTATTCCTAAATTCTAATATATTGATAACTACTAAGATGATGACGCATCTTTAGCTTCTACCTATATTAATATTGTTCAAGATTCCAATAGATCCATATTAATATTTTTTTTTTTTTTTTTTTTTTTTTTTAATAAAATTATCAAATGGTACTTCTTTTAAAAAAAATAAAAAATACAGAATAAAAAAAAAAAGAAATATATTTATAATTATATTAAATAANTATATTTAATGTTTAGTATATATATGTTTAAAATATATTTATTAATATATTATATATATATATTTTTTTTTTTGCAAGGTAGTGCAATTTGTGAGTTTATTAATTATATAAAAGACAGAAAGTTCTGTTACATGTATAATTAATTTGTTTAAAACTCCAAACCGGTCCCCCATCCATAAGATTGCTCCCGTGCCCTACCATCACCTTATGAAATTCACATATATCCTCCCATAGTAGCTATCAGATTATATAGGATCATCATCATCATATGGCTTTAGTAAATGCTTTCACTACCCTCTAAACAAAAAGAAGAACTATATTTGTATTTATATAATTTGAGATTGTTATATGCCTTCCAAATTACCCTATTTCCATTTTTAATAAATTGATTTATATATTGTCTTGTTTTTTCTAAAGCAACTGACCACTGTTCACCACGTTTGAAAATTTTTCTTCCCTTCAGGTCATATGTACCATCTTCCACTTGCTGGGTTGGAATTCTTTCATATACAATACGTTGTTGTGCTGATATTTTTTTCCTTAAATCTTGCTTTTTAATTCCTTTTGTACGTTCCCAATCTGCAACTATGTCACAACGTGGTTGCCAAATAACCTTATAAAATTCAGTAATAAAAATTTCTAAAAAAAGGGAAGCAATTGTTAGTGTAGCTTTTTCTGATTTGACAATAGACCTGAGTTCTCTATATCTTCCTTTTGGGAAAAGATTCCTTAACATTAGATGTACAAATGGGATAGGCAACTCATCCATATTAATATTTTATTCACTAGCAAATTTATTTAAAGAGTATAATAATTTATTATATAATTTTATAAATTATATATATTTTAATAAAATTATCAAATGGTACTTCTTTTAAAAAAAATAAAAAATACAGAATAAAAAAAAAAAGAAATATATTTATAATTATATTAAATAATATATTTTACTCTAAACAATAATATTTTTTTTTTATTATACTCAAAAGAAGTAATATTTATTAGAGTACAGTTAATATTTATAATATATATAATAAAACTTATTATAATAAATTTGACTTATAGTAATTTTTTTTTATTCTTCTTATTAATCAATTCTATTTATTATAAACTTATAGTAAGCTTATTAATTAAAATATATTAAAATAAAAAATATCGCCTCAACTATTTAAAGATTGTAACTGATCATCAAGAAGTAGCTGAAATCAGAAGTAGAACCAAGACTAGGCTAACAAGGTTGGAACAAATACTACAGATAACAAAATTAAGATGAGCAAGCCTATTGGAAAGAAATTCATTTCCTTTACTCTAAGGAATATGAAGAAAGGTTTGGACAGTAGTGAATCTGGAAAGCTTACTTTACTAGCCGACTACTAAGAAGGCTTAAGAACTGATGGAATGACTGCTTGGCCTTGTTGACTATATGTAGAATTATAGTAAACAGTATAGTAGACTTCATATTTGTAGAATACTAATATTTTTTTAGTTACCCTTTTTTTTAAATTTTTTTTTTTTTTTACCCTGACTTTTTTTGTTTTGCTCCTATTTTTTATTTTGTTCGTAATGGGTAAGGTTGCCTGCCTAAACCTCTCCAAAATTCTACAAAACCCCAGAAAATACTTATATAGGTAAGGTCCCAAAAATATTTTTTATTAGTAGCTCTAAGCATAGGTTTTTACTATAATCGCTAAGCATTGTTGATATCTAACCTTAAAAATTATATAAAAATAAGTAAATCAATCTTCTAACCTAATTAAATTTTTATTATAACACATATAATTTATAAAATATATTTATTAATTAATATATTTTATTAAATCCAATTTTAAATATGTTGTGAAGCTAAACTAAAAATAATATACAAGTAGATTAACAATATTCAATTAATAAAGTTAATAAACAGTAAAAGAAAAATTCGAAATTAATACTATTACAAAAAATGTAAATTTTTCCATAAGTATTATACTTACACCCATAAAAATTAATATGTAGGTAGTTTCGACCTTGCTGAACAATTTTCAATTAATTTAGAAAGTTGATTTCATTTGACTAAAGAGGTGTAATTACGCTCTGAAGTTGTAAACAGAGAAATGAAAAATTTGGAAGTTAGTACCGTTATGAAAAATGCACTTTTCTCTATAAGTATTATACCCACACTCATGAAATTAATATTTAAGTAGTTTCGACCTTGCTGAACAACTTTCAATTAATTTAGAAAGTCAATTTCATTTGACTGAAGTGGTGTAATTACGCTCTGAAGTTATAAACAAAAAAGTGAAAAATTTAAAAGTTATTACTGTTAAAAAAAATATGCTTTTTTATATAAATATCATACTTAGCCTTATGAAAATTAAAATACAAGTAGATTTAACTTGCTGAACAAATTTACTTAAGCATAAAAGATAATTTGATATAATCAAAGTGGTGAGTAGTGAAATTATATTTTAAAGTAAAACATATTTATAGTAATTTTATTTAACAAAATAAACATATATAATATAGTAATTTTATATTAAAAATAATACACTAAGTTTAATAAAAATTAAAAAGATACTATTGACAGATAATTAATAAAACATTGAAAAAAAAAATGAAATTTCATTAAAAAAAATTTTTGTTTATGTATTTATATAAAATTGTGAAATGTAGTACAAAATTAACACTCACCGTTAGTGAAAATAAAATAAAAATTAATTATAAATTCAATATATAATATTTTAAAAAGTTATATAAATATGAAAAATAAGCAACTAAAAACTATTAGTATTTTAAAATAATACCAAAAATATGCAATTTAATTATCTTACATAGTATAAAATTTTCTTAAAATTAAGCATTATAAAATTCTTACATCATAAAACTTTACTATATTGGCTAAGCACCTTGGTACCTTACATATATAAGCATTTTCTGAGGTCCTAATTCTACGATTAGTTTCTCCAAGATTTTACTATAGTTTTATTATAGTTTTGGCAAAGTTTTGGCAGTTTTGGCATTTATAATAAGTTTTATCAGGTTTTGTCTTTCTCCAGAGTTTTGCCAACTTTTTAATAAAACTTTCATATAGTTGCGGCAAAGTTTTGCTATTTCAGCATTTCGCCAACTTGCCAAAACCCTCTAGTTCCTCTAGCAACCTTAGTAATGGATTTCGTCTGCAGTAGCAGTGAGTCCTTGGAGCACTCATGGTGTAGACCGGCGGAAGGAGGGGACTCCTCTAATAAGAAAGGATATCTGAAAAAGGTGGACTCACTCCCCTAGCTTAAGTCCTTTACTGACAGTGCATATATAGTTGCTTCACCGAAGTTAGCAGATGGTGTAGTTCTTTACTAAATTAGGATTTATGTTAGTTTTACGTGTATTGTATGAACTTATTTTTTAAAATCTTAATAAAGATCTATATGTGCTGCAGCAAAAAAAAAAAAAATATATACATAAAATATATAAAATAAAGCAAAAAATGGGCCAAAAAAACAATATTTTTTATGTATTAGAAATAAATAACAATATTTTTAATTTTTAAAAGACATAAAAGTAATTTAAAAATTTAATGAATATTAAAATATATAATGAAAAAAAGTATTATATTATATAAATATAATATTACTTTTGATTTAAATTTT